GGAAAGTATTATAAACAACATATGCTTCTATTTCTTCCCTTCTCCAGTGGGGTCGCAGTAGTGTTCCCTGGAGGAACAGAGCTGACTGATGCCTCAACACTAAAACGGCTTTCAGTTACTGCCCACATTTGGTTACATGTTTTTAATATTTGTTAAAGAACATAAGCATTTGTGAAATAGGGGAAAGCAGCCTTCAGAAAGAGACAGAAGGCAAATTGCACTCTTCAGGACTGGTCTTCATGCAAAGCATGACGAAAGCAAAGCACTTGATCTAACTGTTGGAGAAGTTCATGGTTAAGAGGGCCCCGACTTGGCATGGTATGAACAGCAATATCAAAGCAACTGAAGAGGTCTGAAAAGATAAGGATCTCAGGATCAGGGATGGAGAGGGGGTGGTAAAAGAATTGATTAACAGAGGGAACTGGTCAAGAAAGTCCTCTTTACTCCCCATGGATCCCTGAGGCATAAGCATAACCAAAATAACTTCCAGCCCTGAGCCAAAAGAATGGGACTGGCCCACACTCCAGGTCAGTGAAAAATATTCATTTTTTTAAACATTTTGTGTTCTTTCCATCCTTCTCAATTCCCAAAATATTCTTAGTTTTAACTCTCTGTTCTTGAAATCCTGTCTCAGACACCACTGTTTTGCTTTGCTCTTTTCACTAGCAGAGGCAAGTTCTTTCTCCCAAAATGTCAGGTATTGAATTTATTTTGATAAGCACAGTTATCCTGATAAGCTACTTTTAGGCAAAGAGCACCCCCATCATACAATACAGTTTAAATTATTTCAAGTTGTTTTATAGCCATTACTATAACATCACTATGCATCTCTGAAGTTACCCCTAGTAGCATTTGGGGAAACAGGGGCAGAGAGCATTTAAATGAGCGCTGCCCCCAGGTCTCACAGCTCAGAACTAGAAGTAGAGTTGGGATCTGTCCTGTTTTAGGAACAGTATGAGCCAATTGGTGGCACCCACAACACTTTGATGCAGTGTCTTGAATTAAAAAGAGTGGTGGACCATGTGCAACAATGCCTCCTCTTTCAGTGTTTAAGGTGTTTGCTTTCTGGGGTAGTAAAGCTCACAACCAGCAATTCCAAATGAGGTGGCCCAGTATGCCTTCTATCTGTATAAATTATATATTTATACATATATATATATACACATACGCGTATACACACATACACACCTACTAACAGAAGGTCACGTTTATTTTGGTGATGAAAAGACTGGGAACTAGGTCCTAAACCCACCCTACAGCCATCAAGGATTCATAGGTCAAGGACAAGGGGGTTCAGTGGAACAGAAAAGGCATCTACAGTGTTTGGGGGGTAAGTAGGTCCTAGAAGGGAAATAAGCAAAAACACTTTCTCATATTTTTACCTCGGTGTTCAGGTGGGTTAGAAAGACAGTTTCGATTCAAGCGTTAGGTTGAAAGGCACCTCATCCAGTCATCTATGGTATAATAATATTATGCTATATTTGTGACTTAGAGAACAATGACTTTATGTGTCCTACTTCATTCACAAAGCCATTTAGAAAGCAAAGCATGTCATAAAGGGTTGTACGATAAACCACACAAGAAAGAAACACAGATTACTACTTTTAAAAAAATATTTTATTTATTTATTTTTAGAAAGAGGGGATGGGAGGGAGAAAGAGAGGGAAACATCCATGTGAGGTTGCCTCTCACACGCCCCCTACTGGGGACCTGGCCTGCAACCCAGGCATGTGCCCTGACTGGGAATCGAACCGAATCAAGCCTTTGGTTCGGAGGCCCACACTCAATCCACTGAGCTACAGCAGCCAAGGCCAGCTTACTACTTTTTAATAAAAGGAAAAAAATTCTTTACGATCATGTTTAAAAATAAGTCATTTAAAAAAAAAAAGCCCACACCTCTCACAGAAGTTAGTCAGTGCAAAATGTTTACTGATTGTGTTTCTGCATTTGCCCCAATTAATAGTAGTTAAATATTTCCTTAATATTAATGTCTACTTCAGTCTCAGAAGGAGCTGCCCAAGGGGCAGAAACTAAGGAATTCACTGTCATTCAGAAGCTGTCGGAGGCAGGGAAGGAAAGGCAATGCAACTGGAGCCCGCAACTTGAAACACAACCCCTTTAAGAATGCCTGGTCACGGGGAAAGGCAGGGCCGGGGCCAAGCCTTCCGTCCTGCGAACTCTGAGAAACCGCATTCTGCTTTGACCTCCCCCAACCTGTTTGCCTCTGGCTGCATGACCCAAGCTCCCATGCCAGCTCTCTGGCAAGGCCATTGCTGGCTGCCTCCCGCTCCGGTTGGGCCAGGTTGGCCTGAGTCCACTGGTTTGGTCGTGACCCTCTGCCTGTGGCCCTGGCTCCCTTGCTCAGCCTCTTGTCTTCCCTGATTCTCTTGGGAATCAAGAACAGAAGCTTACTAAAAGCGGCAGGACTAAAAGTGGTATATACTGGGAGCATTCTTTTTTTTTTTTCATTGATAAACATGACTACATTACAGTAAGACCCTGTAGGATAAAATTATTAAGTACTCTGTAATAAGATACTGTACAAGTGTCTATTATCTTCCTCTATCAATAAGTTGGAATGTTCAAAGTTTTGAAGCAAGGTTACATGAAATAAAGTTCATGGAACAGGTAACGTCGTACTGAAGAGAAGAGAAAGATATAAACTCAAAAGGCAGTGAACATTTCTAAGAACAGATAGCAATACATGACAGAAATTTTCAGAAGTCTATGATTTGTATTGGAGGCCTTGAATTTTCCAGGTTATTGGAAGACTCTATGGTCATTCTGTGTTAATAATGGCTCAGAAGCTCAGGACTGCATACCCTAATATCAAGCTAAAATGAGCTTAGTGGCGGATCAAGTATCTGGAAGTGTGAGCTGATGCCAGACATGCTGGAGCTCCAATTAAGATGTCAGCGGGTATGCCCCAAACCCTCTGGGAATTCAAAAAGCAGCTCAGGCTGAGTTTCCATATTTGCCTTGGCTTCCCTAGCAGTGATATTTTTCCTGAATTAAATTTTTTTTTCTATAAAATGAGGGGGTTCTATTTTTAAAACGATCATTGTATCTACAATTGAAATTGTTTTCCACTCTCTAGGACACTTCATATAAATGGAATTGTGCAGTGTTTGCACTGCAACTGGCTTCTCTCACTTAGCATAGTGTCCTCCAGATTCACCCACGTTGTTGCCAATGGCAGGACTTTCTTCTTTCTTAAGGATGAAAGGTATCTTGTTTTATGTATCTGCCCCATCTTCTTTATCCATTCTTCTGTCAATGGACAGGTTGTTTCCATGTCTTGGCTATTATGAATGATGCTGTAATGAACATGAAAATGTAGATATCTCTTCAAGATCCCGATTTCCATCCTTTGGGACAGATACTCAGACGTGATTGCTGGGTGCTGGGAGGGTGGGAAATGACAGCCGAGACCCACCAGATATACAAGTTCAGTTATAAAAGACAAACACATTGCAGAGATCTGCTGCATAACATTGTGCCTATGGTTACCAGTACTGCAGTGTGCACTTCAAATTCTGGTGTAAAGCAGATCTCATGTTAAATGTTCATAGCACAAAACAAAACAAAAAACCACCAAAATTCAAGTTCCATCTCTGCAAAGGGAGTCAGTCCATGATTCTTGTGTCTCCTCCCCTTGGGCAGCAGGGCTCAGAGCGTGGGCAGAAAGGTCATAAGTGAGTGTTATAAAAGTGATGGGTGGGATTGTTACTCAATTGTTAGTAAAAATCACTAACCATGGAAAGTAACAAAATTTAAATTAATTTAAATAAGTGTGCTTATTTATGTTAAGCAATATACAATGTACACCTGCATTTGTAAGAACTGCTGAACTATTTGACTAGTTGGTATAGGTAAAAAAGATTCAAAAGACAAATGTTTTATTAGGGAAGTTTTCTAATGCTTTCTTAACCTTCTCCCTGATAATTGTAACCTTGTGGACAGTCTTGTTCACCAGGGACCCACTCTGCGCGCCTAGATTATTTAGAAGCCAACTCCAGCATTGTATCATTTCCTCAGGTGTTATGAAAAGATGTAGGCTATTTCTGTACATACATTCACAATATCACACCTTAAAAATTCAGTATCATCATGAAACATTAGGTTAGTGTTCAAATACCCACAATTAACTTACACAAATGTTTTAAGGTTTTTTAAATATTAGAAACAAACTAAATTTATATACTGACATACATTTGTGTGTCTTTTCAATTTCTTTCTTTTTATTCTGAAGTAGTACTGAAATTTACCTAACACGCAATTCACTGTGCCATAGGTTTCAACAAACACATACGGTCTGGTAATCACCACCACAATAAAGATTCGGAATATTTCATTATTCCCCAAACTTTCCTTACCCAAGTTGATTGTCTGTCAACCCTTCCCCTCCCCTTCAATCTTTGGCTACCACTTACTTGTATTATATTCCTGCAGGTTTTTCCCGCACTTCACACAAATTGATTCACAACACAGAGGTTTTTGAGTCTGGCCTCTTCCACTTAGTATAATGAGTTTGAGGTTCAGCCACATTTTCAGGCTTTGACAATTATGATTTTGAATGTGGCTTTCAATATCTTAACCTCCCACAGAACAGAGGCCACAAGTTGAAATACGGAGACAGGATCTTGATAAGTACATACACTAAAAGCAACAAGAAATAATTGCCTTACAGTCTGGTGAAAAGAGAAAAGGGAGAAAAATTCAGGCAGAAAAACTAAAAGAAAAATATGTCTTGCAATTACACGCTGATGGGTCCTGAGAATAGTACTATAACTGATGTTTACAATAACATTCTTTAGCATGTAGGAAAAGGGGGATATATTCAGCGAATTCTGTTTAAGGAAATAAAGCATGTACATTTACTAAAATTTCTATTTATGTTTAAAACAAAGCAAAAAACACAGCCATATCACTTTGAAGCTAAAAACAGTAACCCCACTTTCCTGTATTACTTGGCTTTTTAGGATATTTACTTGCCAGAGGTTTCTGGGTAGTCACTTTTTCACTGGAAATTTTTAACAGAATTATCTGTAAACAGAACCAAGAATACTTTTTAGGTCACGTGATTAATCAACATAGGTTGACACAGATCCCTGGTGCCACTCTCAATCCAAAGTCAAAATCAACTTTATCAACTCACCTCTACTTCTGCAGCAAGGGCCCGGAAAGGTCCTTGAAGAAAATCTGTGTGCAGCGTCAGCATGTAGTATGTGGGAACCACTGTCACTACGCTGACTCCTACAGAAGGACCTTTTGAGAGATTTAACAATTTGCCTTCAGCTTTTATAAGGCACGAGTGTGAACACACACCCAACACAACACAAGCTGCACATTTGTGTGTGTGTCTGCATCCATAGTAGATACATATATAGAAATAATTATCTACTACCAGGAACAAAATGTAAATAGAAATTATTTACCACACATGGTATTTCTCTGTCATTTTCAAGAATCAACTTTACATCATTTGTAAAGAACACTTTGCCTCAAGGTATGTCTTGCATTTTTTAAAGGGACGTAACTTATATAAGAATTAAGTTTGTTTTATATATCTTTTCTCTAAAATTTTTCTTCTGCTATTTTTCTCCGAAAGAAAGATAAAAAGCCAGCAAGTTTTCTGAAATAGATTTCAAGTTTTGGTTTAAACTAACCTGTGTCATAGTCAGCCCACAGGGCAGCCCAGGACCCTCTCCTTGAGGTTCAGACCCTCTGGCCCCTGGAGAGCTTCTCGGGACATTCAGTGTCTGGTCCCGTTTGACTCCGGGCTCACCCCGGGGCGGCACACAACGCTGACGGGTAGGGAACTATCCTTGATTAAAAATAGAAAGTATGTTCTGGTGGTGACACATATTTTCATATCCTTTTAAGTAGGGTTTATAAAAAACACTTTGCATTTCCAAATTCCAGAAATTGTTTTCTGACAATTTTCTGAGAAAAATCAACCACACATTATCTCATCTCCACCAGAAGCAGCAAGCTTGAATGAGTCAATGTAACTTTCTTGTTTATTTATCTACATCTCATTATTGTATACCTCAGTTGCAAGGAATGAATGGGCATGAATACTTCCCTAGGAGTGGTATCCTCCAAACTATAGGTCAGGAAACCTGGGCTAAACTTAAGGGAATTAATTTCTTTATGCCTTTTATTATTTTAGGAGAAAATTCTTCTCTGTGTTACCAATTTCAAATAATTTTTCTTGGGTGTTTTGGTTTTATTTATATTACAAATATACTCTCAGCTACAAATACTTCCTGGCCTCCAGCAATTAATTGTTGGCTGGGCTCTGAAAATCGAAAGACCAGAGTTGCATTAAGCTGGGGACCGTGGCTGTGAGGGAGAATTTCACTTGCCCACAGGGCCAGGCGATACTACCCAGGTATCTGCTCAAACAGGATTCTAGCTTAGAAGTTTTCAGCCTTTCTCAACACACGACACATAAATCAGTTACTAAAATTCTGTGGCACACCAAAAAATGCGTTATATTGTTTGACAACCTGACACAAAAAAATAGGTGCCTTTTGATTTATTCACACCGGACGGCTATTGTCGTGTTGGCTGTTGTCATCTTCCTTTTTAATTTGGCAGTCTCCGGGAAAAGAGGTCAGTGCCGCCGACTAAACAGTCAAGTATTGCATGTTTTACAGATTCTGTGGCACACCGGTTGAAAATTGCTGTTCTAGGTGTTTCTGGGAAGGTATTTTTTTGGTGAAATTAACATTTAAATTAGTAGATTTCGAATACAGCATATTGCTCTCCTTAATATAGGTGGACCTTCCTCATTCAGTGAGTTGAAGACCTTACTGACCTTTCAGCAGACGGCCTTTGGACTTGAACTACACCTCCTGCTCGGCTCTCCAGCTGCCCAGCCTACTCTGCAGACTTTGGACCTCCAGCCTTCACAACTGTGTGCTTCAGTTCTTTAAACTCTCTCTCTCTGTTTATATGTCAAAATAGATATACATCATAAGAGATTTTATATATATTTAAATTTTTATATAGTATATATAATGTACTTTTATAATAAATTAATATATGTAAATAAGAGGCCTGTCCAGAAAGTATCCACCCAAGTAAATGAAAAAGAGACATTTATTGAAGAAGGTATGAGATATAAGATATCATTGTATGTAGGTACCTCAGTCCTCTTCAAAGTAGGCACCTCAGGACCTCACACAGTTCTCCCAGCATCTCTCCACTGTTCAAAACACTCTGCAAAATCCTTGGTTGGAATCGCCATCAGTTGCCTCAGATCAGCTTCTAGTTCTCGCGCTGTCAGTTGCCGATCTTCACTGACTGCAGCCTGGACACGTTCACCATTCCCAGGTGTTCTGTTTGTCGGAGGCCTTCCAGAAAGTGCATCACTTTCAACAGATTCTTGACCAGCTTTGAAGCATTTGTCCCAATCTTTTATTTGTGCTGTACTCATTGCAGCGGCCTGGAAAATCTTGTGCATTATCCAAACAGTTTCCTTGGAGGAATGTTCAACCTTAATGAAAAATGTAGATTCATTGCTCAACTTGCTCAGTCATCTTGAATTCGACAACCACACAGTACACATGCTCACTTAATGGTGTCTACCACCCCACTGACTAGTACAGTGAAGTCATCATTGTTCATACATGCACATTCCAGTCCACTCTCCTTGGGCACCAGGTTACATCGATGTTGCACAAACCATTCTTGTTACATTAATAATGACTGGGCTTGTTCCAGACAGGCCTTTGTGTGTGTGTGTGTGTGCGTGTGTGTGTGTGTGTGTGTAATGTATATATATGAGTGTGTGTGTATATATATATATTTTATTGGTTGAGTTTCTCTGAAGCATCCTAATAAATACTATGACTTTTTATTCTCTTTGGTCAGTGAAATCTGAGCAGCCTCACTCAGCGATGCCAGGTAGAGCTTTTGTTTTATTGTTCTCCTTTCATAATGTGTTATAACATATTGAACATCAAGGAAACTAGTTTGTTTTGAGCCCAGAATAATTATTCCTCTATTCAAACAATTTGGCATTTCTGTTATGGAGAAGGTCACTGCATGCATACTGACCAATGTTCTTTTCTTTAAGTTAACAAGTGTTTGATACTTGAGTGCTTTTCTTTCCTCACTGCAATTCAAGCAACGATTACGGCGTTAAAGGTCCTCATGGTTTCGGCTGTGACGATGAGTGCCCCAACTACCCTTTAGGAACAGGACAGATCCCCTGAGACAACCAGCGTTCCATCAGGAGCTCTTCCCGGCATTCTCACCTGCACACCTGCCCTTCGGTTTCCCTTCTCCTCTTGGCAGAAAACAGACGGAGCGGGCAGGATGGGAACACCAGGGGCAGCCAGTCTTGGACGATTGGTGGATGGTGGGCAGCTTATGTATTCAGCTTGACCGAGGCAACACAAGTGGTTTAGCTTCCTTATCCTTCACCGCAGAATGTGACAGAAGAGCCAGGAGCAGAGCTAGGCAAAGCCAGCGTTGGATTTCCTATCACCCCACCTTGCTCATCACTTTTTTGAATGACCTCCATGTTGAAAACACATGAATCCCTCCCAGGGGCCGACAGTCACCAGCTCCTGTGGTTGGTGCAGGCCTTTGCCCTGGATGCCAGCCAGGCTTGTCGTCCTTGAGCCCCTATGTGCCCGTCGCCCATGGCAGTAAGCCTGGGAGAACGGACATGCAGGCTGAGTGGAAACACTAGAGCTGTGCAAGATAATGGATTGCTAGTATTTAATATAAAGTGTTCAGACTTTTGATTTATCGCAATGGCACGAATCATTTATTACCAAGAATCTTTTGGGTACGTGATTGTGTAGAACCATGTCTGCACACTGCAACAGCACCTTTAAAAATAGAGCTTATGTGTGGGGTGACCATATATTTTATCATCCACACCAGAAAATCTATTGATAGTAAAAGAGACACTAAATTATTCAAGGCAAACCAGTATGTGCCTACATGTAGTTATTAGGCATTTATTTTTCCTGCTTTCTCTACGGTTGGCTACATTTCCCTTAATTATACCATAAGGCTGCTCTGTGAATAGGAGGGTATTGTGATTATTCTCTGTCTAAGCACTGAACTGTCATCTGCTTGGAACTGTTCAAATAAAAGACAAAATGTAATCATTAAAGCCTATATTTGCAAAACATCCTCAGAGAATGCAGTGGGATGCACAGGCCGTGTTTCTGACTCAGAAGCCTGCCTTTGAGCAGAGAGACTCAGGGAGAGGGAGACAACACTGTAACATAATTAGGTCTATCCTGTCGAGACGGTGGGGGCGGATGGGAAGGCCCACCTTGCATGAGTCACTTTCTTTCCAGACAACTCTCATCTGCTAGCTCCATGAACCTCACTTTCTGCTTGAAAAGTGTCCACAGTGCAGGCCAATTAAATTAAAAAAATAGAATAAAATGTGCTAAAAAATAAAATACCCTTTAATAACCTAAGAAACAGAGAGTATATTGCAGTTCTAACAAGTATAGCGGGGTGGGGGGCAGCTGAAGAGGATGCCACAGAATCAAACTCATGATAAGATTGAGACTGAGCCTCAAAGACACGGGGACTTTCTCCCTTAACCAGCACATCAAAAGGGCACACTGCTTCCTTCTGAAGCCTCCGGTCTCTTTCACAACGTGGATGATTAGGGGATTGTTTAACTTGTAAAATGCCTTTATACAGTCTGCTCTGGAAGGCCTTCTGTTTATGGTTTGATACTCTGCCAGCTTCCTCAAATTCCTTTTCTTTTCTTTCTTCTTTTCCCCCTTCCCTCCCTCCTCCCCTTCTCCTCTCTTTCTGTTGTTCCTTCTCATCTAACGTGAAATATTGGCTGCTCTCTGTCCTTGCAGCCCTTTCTCCTTCCACCCCTGCTTCTCCACTCCTCAAGGTGGCTGCAAGGAAAATAGATTAAGAGTAAACATATATGCCCTGGCTGGCATAGCTCAGTGGATTGAGCGCAGGCTGCGAACCAAAGTGTTGCAGGTTCGATTCCCAGTCAGGGTACATGCCTGGGTTGCAGGCCACGGCCCCCAGCAACCGCACATTGATGTTTCTCTCTCTCTTTCTCCCTCCCTTCCCTCTCTAAAAAATAAATAAATAAAATCTTAAAAAAAAAGAGTAAACATATATTTATTTAATGGTAATGGAGTAGAGGGATGCTCCCCCTAGATAATGTATAAAGAAATGTTTGTCAATATTTTATTAAAACTAGCTTATGTAAAGAAAGTGTTGATAATCCTAATGATTTTCAGCAATAAGCTACTGGATTTTGGTCATATCACAATATGTGTATTTCAAAAACAGAGACTAACCTTGTAATTTGCCAAAATGTCATTCTGATTCCTATTTGATTTATTTTATTTGCTTGTTATATCAGCCTGTTAACTTCCATTAAAATACTTTCTGAGCAAAGATTTTTGGTTTTGTTTTTACTGGGAATAATATGTCAATTGATAGTCATTTGAATTTATATTAAATCAATTGTAAAAGATGCTTTAATACTTATATAGGGCTAGGAATTTATTTGCGTCATTTTAAATCATATTTGTTGATAGAAGGAGGAACAAATAAATACCTTTTTTCCTTCTTACAGCATTATAACATATTCTTCAAGTATATGGAAAGTATTGTGGGAAATTATTTTCTAAAGATGCTTTGTTTTGGTCATCAATAGGGAAAGTTTCATTTGATTTGCCTGTGTAGAGGACACCTGCAACTTATTTTTGCATTTTTTAAAAATCTTTGCTTGTT